TATATATATAAATTTATTTATTCAAATTAATTCTTACTAAAATGGACTTATTTTAGAGGGGGTTCACTAGGAGATCCAGATTTGAAAATTTTAGTGAGGGAAATTTAAGTGCCATTTTCAAATTTTATTGGTAGATATTCTACGTTTTCTTTTAGTCTAAGCAATACTTTTTTGTGAGCAAAGTATGGAGATAATGGTTTTTAACATTTTTTCATTACTAGGGTAACTTATATAGTGTTGCTTGGTTTTAGTTTCCTTCACTATGAGAACTTATGTTGCATGATTTTGTGGAAGTGTCTCAATGCACATGGCGATTGGATTCTAACTCGGTTTTTGCCCCAGCTTCTCCCATTACAACCTGTGCCGTCACCCTAGCTCTTGTTCATGAATTTTGCTTCTCCGCAGTCACCTAGCTTAGTTGTCAACTCTCTTCTCTCTTTTACCCTTGCTCGCCAAGTTCTCCCTCCTTTTGTTCATTGCCAACTTACTAATCCAAGGGCACATTATTGCCCCCTTACCATTCCATAGGTTTGTACTTAATTATTTAATAAAGTATTTATCCCCAAAAATTTGTATATTTTTTTAAAGTGGTTCTACTGGACTTGTATAAATTCAGAACAAATAATGAAATAAAATACATATTTTGCAGGAAAACAACTCCAACAAAGATGGTCAATGAAGATTCTTTATGGTGCATCTATTTTAGGGAATTTAATTAACCAAAGATAGATGCTAGAAGCTTAATGGCAAACCACCAAGCAAAAGTTGAACACCACAGGAAGGACAGAAAATTTAGAGATGAATATATATAAAGCATTTGAAAGAAGATAATCAACATAGGATCTTCCGTAGAGTTTCATAAGAAATAGAGAATTTATTAAATTTATTGGTATCATTAGAGAAGACCCTTGCAATATTATTTATTTTTTTACATTCTCAAATATTGCCTTATTTTCTCATGCATTTAAACTCTTAGAAATGCTCAATTCAAGCTATTGGATTATTGAGTCGGGAGACAGTGATCTGACTAATACCTTACAAAGTTATTTCATTTATCTTTCTCATATCAATAAGAAAATTACTATTGGTAATGTATCATTGACAACCATTGCTGATCAATGAGAAAATTGTAAAAAAATATCTCACATTACAAAAGGTCTGCTTGCATATAAATTTTCTACCAATCTATTATTTATCCAAAAACTAAGTATAAATTTAGAACGTAGTCATTCATTCACATTGTACTTGTAGGAATAAGGCATTAGAAGGACAATAGTATTTGCTTAAAAAAAGATGGTCTCTATCCTTTAATTAAATCCAAGTAATCACGAAAATGCCACAGAACCTATCCAATTATTTTTTATTTTAGAAGTTATTAAAACCAATAGATAAAGTAGATGGTTTTAACACTTATGACTTGGTTTTTCTTTTACTTTCGTTAGCCATTTGTTTTAAAAATGCTTGTGCCTTGGTTATTCATTCTTTATTTATTTTAAAATTCTTTTTAATTATTCACAAGAATTAATATGAAAAATTTCATCATGTTATTTTTGAGTTAACAAAATACAAATATAACATTTTTCTAATAAGTGATATAAGGACCTAAAGTTGATTTTCTCTTATTCGTAGTGACATCTAAGGACCATTCGCTATAACCTAATATCTCTCGGGCCTCGTGATCTGTGTCCATTATCTATGATTGCTTGAATCTATCAGAGTTTTATACTAAACTAAAAGTTGCGTCATCATTCCCATTTTTTTCCAATATCGTTAAAAATCAATTTGGTGTTGAAATTAAAAGGGTCATATGTGACAATCCAAAAGAATTTTTGAACTATTCTCACTCATACATCAAAGACAAGAAAAATTCATTTAATTCTCTTATTTGTTTATAATCCAATTAAATTAGGTGACTAAACTAAGGCTTGAATATCTACCAACTTTTTCCAGGGCTCTTATCTTTCAAAAGAATATTCCAAATCAATATTTTTGGGAACCTGGTTCAATAACTGCTCATATTATAAATAGGTTTTCTACAAGGGTTTTCAATTCAGAAGTCCCATACAAGTCCTAATCAAATTCTCATCTCACTCAAACACCTCATTTAAACTTGTTCCCAAAATATTTAAAAATATTTTTTTTATTCCTATACCTTCCCCAATATAGAGAAAGACTGGTTAAATATTTCTTTATTTATTACTCTCCTACATAAAAACATATAATGCTACCATCCCCCTCATAAGAATGGTTTGTTTGTTTGCGGAGACCACTTAATAAATTGCTAAGTACGCAAGGAAGAAAGATTTTTACAAATGAATTTCTTCATATAGGTTGCCCTTCATTATTCCTCACCCTAATCTAAAACCATCCACTTCTGCACATCTCTAGCCTACACTAAACTACATTCTACTCAACCATTACTTGTGTACTTTTCAAAAAAAAAAAAACATAAAATAAAGTACTTTTCAAAAAAAAAAAAAACATAAAATAAAATAAAATAAAATAAAATAAAATAAAATAAAAACCATTACTCATGTAGTTGTGAAGAAAAAAGGCATCTCATTCTACGCAAGTCTAATTAACTAAATTAATTCTTGACACAGAATCCAATGTTTGAACATTTGAGCTGATAAACATAAGTATAAAAAGTTCTAATAAACATCTCTTAAAGTTATTCTTATTATATATCATTTTTTTGCATAATCATTAATCATTCCTTGCTACCTAGCTAGCTTTCATATTATTTTTGTTTCTTGAAATAATTTCAAAGGCTTTAAATAATTTGAATAATTGTAATATTATTTAGGAAGAAATGAAGGGCTTCAGAAGAACTAAAAATATTGGAACTGGCAAAGTTGTAAAAAATAAAAAAAACTGATTGCATGCATATTGTTTTTATCGTAAAATATAAATTTGATGGTTCATTACAAAGGTATAAAGAATGTTTATAGCCAAAGGTTACTCAAGCATATTTAATTAAAGAGTTTGACGGCTACTTCAATTTAGTTCCGAGACTCTTTCAATACCTGCTGAATTTAGTGAGTTTTGAGGACTAATTTTGAACTTTTATAGACTTTGGGACCCCATATTAATCATTTGAGACTATTTTGACACTTTAATTCTCCACCAGATCATTGCTAATTAGATTGGTTTATGACTTTTAAAAAATTGAATATATTAACTAGAGCACCAATCTCTTAAGTTTACTTTCCTGATCATGGTGCAGGCACCCCATGGACTGAAGAAGAGCATCGCATGTTCTTATTAGGTCTGCAGAGGTTGGGGAAAGGAGACTGGCGTGGGATAGCTCGAAATTTTGTAATATCCAGGACACCAACACAGGTCGCTAGCCATGCCCAAAAGTATTTTATTCGCCAAACTAATGCAACAAGAAGGAAGCGACGTACGAGTTTGTTTGATATGGTGCCTGAAATGGTTTGTCAGTCTCTCATTTATTTCCATATCATTCTCATAACGCTGATCTTTCGTTTATTAATGTATTCAATACGTTACAGCCGTTGGATCATGTTATTACCTTAGAAGACCAGTCTTTGGATCATGGTATTACTCTAGAAGACCAGTCTTTACCTCATTCCCCGCCAAACCAGTCTGAGACTGCAAACAATCTGCTTCCCTGTTTCCGCGTCGGTTATGTTCAGGAACCTCAACTTACTGACTTCTCATCAAGCAAGCCCTCTCCAGAAACTAAAGAAGATGTTCTAGTAAATAACATAGCTTTACCACTGGTTTCTACATTCTATCCCACTCTGGTACCAGTGGCCTTTCCATTATGGCCACCAAATCTCTCGACACCTGTAATAGAAGAAGAAACAATGGAAAACCATGAGGTACTTAGACCTACCCCGGTTAATCGCAAAGACCTTACCGGTGCTGATGAGCTTGTCAGCATTTCTAAACTCAGCATTGGTGAAGGAGCTTCCAACCGATTGGAACCGTCAGCCCTGTCGGCCAAACTTCTTGAAACAGCTGCATCACGGCCATCCGCCTTCCACATGAACCCTTCGATGCTGAGGTCTGGTTTGAGTCAGAATGGCGGCAATGTGATCCATGCGGTATGAGATTAAGGCAAGGAAGGTTGGATTTTGTTCTTTTATCTATATATTCTTTTCTACTATCATATAATAATCGTATGGATGGGTTTGATTTGCTGTTATATTATTTGTTTTGATTAGAGTAGGCAAAACACAGTTTCTTACAAGTATGGCTTCTTTTGGAAGTGATCCAATAATGGTTAGTTCTAATATTTTTAATTGATTTGTTGATCATTTATGTTCCTTTCAATATGTACTTTTTCAGCTATTCTTTTGAATTTGTTTTGACCAATCTGACATCCATGATTTCCAGCAGTAAGTGGAAATTTTTTTTGCAAGTAATGGAGCTTCGTATACTTAGATTAGGTGAAATATCGATTATATGAAGAGTTTAGGATACCGCTTGGTTCTTATGCTGCTGCTTCTATCTATGAAGCGGCTTTGTTTGTTATAACTATACTGTATGAAATAAGACCATCGTATTTATAAATCATTACATATGCTCACCATGGGTTTTCTCTGGATGATGGGAGCTTCAATGGAGTGATGAAATAGTAGGATGCCAAATAAGTATTCATTATTATTGCATATAAAATATTATTAGCAAATGTTTGTTGTGATTAATAGGAATGATGGAGGCATTGGATATGTTATGTCCTGAGAATTTAATGTCTATTTTGAAAGAAATTAATTATTGATTCATATTACCAAACAATTTAAAGGTGTTTAATATTTCCAATTGCTCTTCTGCAGATTTAGAGAACATTAATGTCATCTATAGGGAAAAAAATGACATTCATTATTAACTGGAATTTGGATGGAGTATTTTTTTTAGATATGGTGATAAAAGTTTTTATATTAGTCCAAAAAGGATAGTAAAACATGTTGATTGTAATCTTTTATATTTATTTGTTAATATCTTGCTTTTAAATTATATTTTAAAAAATATAATAGCATTATGCAAAAGATTAAAGATATCACTTTCATTATGAGAAAATGTTCTATAATATAATTCCGCATTATGCAAAAGATTAAAGATATCACTTTCATTAACTTTATGGGAAAATGATCTATAATATAATTCTTTATTGGTATAAGTGGGTATAAAAAATTACTATATGTTTTCCCCTGTAATAAATCTAAAGTATTTTTTTATTAAGCTCTAAACATCAAAATTATGATAAAATTTGAATATATTGATCATTTTAGTTTGTATTAGTATTTGTAATCGAATAGTTGCTATTATCTGATTTATTCTATTTGATTAATTTTTATTATTATATTCAATTAGTAAGATTTTCATTAGAGGTTGCAAAGTTTTTCATTCATAACAATTTCATTCAACATCTTTTTTACTATGCATTTATTAGCATTGTGATCAAATCGATTATATTTAAAGTATTTAATTGCACAAATTACCGGAGAGGATTCTTTTTCTTCTTTATTAAATTATTTTTGGATAAATTTTCTTATCAGATTTTATTATCTTTTTGGAGTATTTTTTGTGTAATAATTTTCTTATATGAAGAGTAATATATAACATCAATTGTTTCAATCCCTGAACCTCAAAGTCTAACGTGATTGATATTATATATTACTATTCATCACTGTTCACTCATCTCTTTCTCTCTCTCTCTTGGGCTCTATTCATTGGGTTGTGATTCACAGATAATCGGGATTCAACATTCAAAAAAATGTTGTGAGCGTGAATCATGCCGTAAACAAGAAGAGTAACCCATGAAGAATAAACTCGTAACAGAGACATCTGTAATATGGAGTTCACCAGAGAATTTGTGAACTAACTGATATATGTGTTGAAGGATCAAATGTTGTTTGTCATCCAAGAAATGTTGGATCGAAGAAAAGAGCAGTACCCTAAGAGAGTGCTTACGCCCAACGATTGAAGAGCTCTACAGATCCTTGAAAGAGGAGATTCCTTGTACTTTAATAGTGTTGGGTCGATACCGATTGATTGACACTGATTCAGATGTACAGAGCCACTGAGATAACCCATGAATGCATTTTCTCGACTAATATCTAAGGTCGAGCCTCCAAAGAGGTTTAAATTCCCAACACTAGAGTTCTACAAGGGCAAGATTGATTTGACCAACCATATAGCCTCATTTGAGTCAATTATGTGTCTGTTGAGGATCATTGGCGCACTAAATTGACTTATTTTCTTTGCCACTCTAAGGGAGGCGATCGTTAGGTTGTTTAATGTAATATCATTGAGAGTGATTGCATCATTCACTAATTTCAAGTGAACATTTGTGGTGCGGTTTAGTGCCCAAAAGCCTCATAAAAACTCATAGGCCCTCCTACAGATCCTACAGATCTAACAAGGATAGAATGAGAGCCCTTGGTTGTTTATCTCATCCTTCCGAAATGAGCTATTGGAAGTGTGGGAGTTGGAGCCCGTAGAAGCTCATGTTGCCCTAGCTCAAAGGTTAAAGGAAGAACCCTTCTGGTATGCATTAAAACAATGACAACCAAAGATGCCGATTGAGTTGTTGGAGTAGGCCAACAACCACATATTGGCTCTTCTAGAGCAGAGTCCTCCACCGTCTCGCGCAGGAGATGGTCCTTTAAGGAGACAGGTGGAGACTAAGTCATGATTCACATCCTTCTGCCTTTCCTCCCTATGAGGACACTTGGTCACCTCGAGACCATAGGATGACCGACAAAGCATAACTGGCTCGATATCTTGAGCATCGATCGACTCGATACAATGATCGCTCATTGTCTAACCATGAAGTACATAAGAAAATTCTATTGAGAGTTTCAATGGCCGAGATAGTGGATGACATTCAAAGTAAATATTATTTCAAGAGAGCACCCACAATGAAAATTGGAGCTAATTTCCAAGATCTCAATAAGTATTGGGCCTAACATTATGACTGTGTTTACAATACGGAGGAATGCCAACACCTCTGGGGCCTAATCGAAGAACTGATTAAGGTTGCGAACTTAATGAGTTTGTAGCTCCGAGACCAACGAGCCAACAGTAGGGGAAAGCTTTTGTAGAAGAAATTTTTGAAATGCATCTCTGAACGCATGCAATCTACATCAATGAAATAGTTTCTATCCTCTTTGGAGGAGGAGAAAAATCATCCTGCCTAGCTAGATTGAAGAGGATTTGGTCAGGAGAACTATGTGCAACCACCCTTGCTCCCAAATGTAGCTCACATCTCTCAATTACCTTTAACAATTAAGATTTGCCTCTTAAGGGAAATCCCTACGACAACGCTATCATCATCATCAACGCATTGATCAACAACTATTAGATTAGTAGTTTCTATTGGCATTATTTTTTGATGTCTTTCATGTCTGATTCATATTTTTGGGTCATGGGATTGCATTCTGCTAATACGTATGCTCTCGTGATACATTATGTCAATAAAATCGTTCCACGTGCATTCTTGCCCAAATACAAGGTTCGAATTAGCATAACCACACCTAAAAGCATCATAACTACACCGCCCCTGTGAGAACTGGCATAATCTTGGCTAGAACTAGCATAACCATGCAAGCCCAAGCGTAGCTACGCCCCAGGCTAGCATAGTCCGCCACCCAAACATAGTGGGTGGCATGATTACACCCGTTTTCGACTTAGCTACGGCGCCACATAGCCTAATTTTGATTATTTTGAGTCTTCTTGACTATGTTAATCCACATGAAGGGCTAGGGTTGGTCATGGATTGATGTGGGGTGTTCCATGTGCTACCACTTCCAAAGGCAAAAGTTTTGCATGCATGACACATGGGGCAAAAGTACTTTTTCATGGAATGACGCCATTTTTATAGAGGTGGGTTAGGAGAGGATCTTTTTTTAGATAAGGAGAGCTAAGCTTTCTTGGTGTTTGAAAAGATTTTTTGAAGTCTTGGGCACTGGGGAGGGCCAGAGGAGAGATTTCTTGGAGGTGAGGCTTCTTCTCAGATTTTTCTTATCTCCTTCATCCATTTTCTTCTCCCTATCCTTCCTCCATCTCATTTCTCTTAAGAAGCGAGTGAGTATGAGAGAACTTTTTTAGGAGTTCTTGAGCTTTCCTTGAGAAAGAGAGCTTCATCTTCACCCTTGGTGTGGAAGGAGCTTGGAACAAGCAAATAGAACGCTTCATCAACCATTGCGAAGGTGAAACTCATTGAAAGCTCTTTTTTCTTTCTTTCTAACAAGCCTCTTAAGTTTTGGGTTAGAGTTATAAGACTTAGGCTAATGTTATAGGAGACCATAGGCTAGGAAGCATTTTTGTTGCTCTCTTTACAATCCTTGAGTGCTTTATCCAAATAGTCCTAGCTCCTTAAGTCATTCCAAAGACGAATTTTATTAATCTTGTCGTTTGTCATAGTGGCTTCACTTAGATGGAAAAGTGAAGCCTTGAGTCTAGAGAGTGAAGAAAACCGCCTTGATCTTCACTCCTTGGGTTAGGAAAATTTCTCTTTGTGAGAAATTTTTTGTGTTTAGCCATGCAAATGGTGGTGGGTGTCTTATTTTCTCACACAAAAAGGGGATGATACACTTCTCCATCTATTGAGCCTAGAACCTATGAGAGTTTTCGTAGGTAAGGTTTTTGACTTGCCATTAATTGGATTTAGGCCGTTTCATCATTTTAAGCATGTGTAGATGATTCAGCTTGAGTGCATTGCATGATATCAAAATCTTCATCAAAGTAAGTTTTGCATGCATTTTGGATGGGCCAGCTTTGGCCAGTTTGACTTGTCAGCTCAATTGGTTGGCCATCTTTATTCAGTTTGATCAGTCAACCGACCACATGTAACCAGCTTGATCATCCGGTCGGCCACCTTTGATTGGCTCGATTGGTCGGCTCCACCTTTCGGTCACTCTTGAACGACCGCCTTCACATGCAAAAAATTAGATCATATATTTGTAATGCTTATGGTGTAACATTGATGTGCGTATGAAAAGTTATGTATGATGCATGAATTTATAAGATCAACATATTAAAATGCATTGGGCTTAATGCTCATATTTTTTTATCATGAGAAAATATATTTAGCTTGATACTTGTATTCTCATGTGCAAGAAAAATCTATTTGACTTGATGCTTAGTTTGCTAAAATCATGTGTAAAGTTTCGTTTTACCTTGATTGGGTTTCTAGCAGTCGACATACATGTGGTGTTTTTTCGAGCACCTGCACTTACGGTATCTCCATGAACTTATGTGTC